CTGAGAGAGACTCTGCTAGGTTTTCCATGGGTCCTGGCGGCATCTTTGGCGATGCATTCACTTGCACTGCACATAAGAAGATTCCTAAGCGGGTAAAAGATTGGCTTGAAGCTACAGGTGTTTCGATACCCTGATCCTTCCTTCAAGGCAGGATGACTGCCCTGGAGAAGATTTTTGAATCATCTCCTGTTGAGTATATGACAAGATACGGTAATTCCGAACCGGTTAGCCTTGTCCTGGCATCATGCGATGCCAGTCTTGACCGTATGGGGGTTGTATTTGGATGAAGGGCCAGACGTTCTGGTTTGCTTATCGGCTGAGTGACCTACCACAAAAAACCAGACAGAAAGTTCTATCCGGTGGTACAAGACCAACATCTGCAAATATGGTGACACTTGAGCTCTTAGCTGCTCTCATCATGCTCAGCTTCATTTCTGAGCTAGCTGTTGATGATCGAGTACCAGTACTGCTCATGGTCGACAACCAAGCGGCCATAGGCGTGCTCAAGAAGCTGTACTCTAAAGTCCCTACTGCGAGAGTTGCTTCTTGCTGCTTTACCTTCTTTTGCCACATTGTTGCAGGACTATGAAGTCATATAAAGATACGTTAGCTTGGCAATGCCAAGTTGGCATACTCCGGTTGGCCGGGCCGAGCTCAACCATCCGCGCTCTCGATGCAAACTTCAGTGTTGACAAAGTCTGTGAGACATCTGTGATGCAAGGCGATACCTGAACAGAACCCAGACCGTCGAGGCATAATCTTGGCACTGGTGACCTCAGCCTACACTTACGTGTGCTATCATGAGTACTTTGGCGCTGCCACCAAGCGAATCCTTGAGCATGAGGGTGAGCTTGGAATTACGATAAGGGACATGTGTTTTCGACTGACTTCCTCCACCATCCTTTTGTTGTGCAGCCAGGAGAGCATTCAACACGTCACCCTAGGGCATATGAGGGGAATAGACAACCAAGTGAGACCAACGATACTGACCAGAGTACTCAGAGATTTGTTGATCATCTGGGCTTCCCTTAATGTACTCCCCTTAGCGCCACTCCGACCAACATTTTCGCTACCGGCCAGATCTGGGACGCTTGAGCACTTTTTCTGGATTGAATGTAATTTCCAAGTAACTCACCGATGAGATTGAGTTTCCCGTGACGACAAGTGGCTGTACATGGGCATGGCAGACTCGTTCTCAGCGTGACAACACAGTGACTCCTCGAACTATGCGAATTGATATTAGTCGATGATGTTCGACGAGTTGCCACCGCCGCTTGGAGAGCCTGAAGAAGCCGGGTCATAGACACATGATCTTGGCAGCAAGAAGCGTGAGCACCTTCAGAGCGTCGTTCAGACTTTCAAGAGACAGTTCTGTGAGACCCTCGACAATAATGTTATCATTCCCTTCCCGAAGTTGATGTCCCGAGAGAGCCTTCACTATCGCAGGCCTGGTGTAGACAATTGCAACTCTGATTTTGGTATTAGAATCAATAATTCAATATAATAACCGAATACGGACCACCTCACTTTCCTGGAGCGAGAAGATCGTAGATACATTCGTTGTAGATTTCAACCATAGACATCGCAATCAGCATGTGATGCCCCCCTTGACCTTCTCTGGTACTGAATAAATCTCTCATAATCCGCTCGTGTAGTCCGCTGAGAGCAATAGCGCATCAAACTGGCCTGTTCACTAGAGTTCAACCCATTGTCGCCTCACACATGAGCACTGCCCTCGGGAGAACCGAATACTGTGTAAGTCTTCCCGGAGCCTGTCGGGCCGTAGGCGAAGATGCATGAGTTGTAGCCATCTAGAACCTACAAGCTCGTTTAAGTGTGTCACATTCTTTCGAGCGGACTTGAACAATCCGCGCAGTTGTGCTTACTGCGTGTACAAGGTCTCTGATAGAAGAATCATAGACGTCATCTTGTGATGCAGTAGGGCCGAATGTAGCATCCAAACGGATCGCTCTCTTTCTCCCATCCATCATATCGCACACAACCTGTCGGTTAGCCTGACACTCTCATGTTTAGTGAATACGACTCACTGTGTCGTCACTTATAAGATGAACAGCGACCGTCTCCCCGACTTCCTTGCCACTTAGTGGCCTGTAGTAGTAACTCTACCGGGGATTCGATCGTGAAAGGCTCACCGTATGCGAGCTACAACTCTTATATTGCCTCTCAACGATGATATAACTTCCCTTAGAGATCGATTCTCGGATGCTAGTTTCGCTAACCTGGCCGATACTCTCGACAGTACTGCTAGCCGTAGTGATTCACCTGTCTCGCAGATAAGCATTTTCTGAGTGCAATCGTTGAACATTACTACAAGGCTGCTCATACGAAGAGGCCTAGAGTTGGTCATAACATGATCTCAATATCTCTGGTGTGTCTTCACTTGTGAATCGTTAGTAGAGCATGTCGCCGTTGCTGGGCATATTACATCTTTCGGTGTTTGACTGTATCGAAAACGGTTCACAATATAAGTGCGGTATGTGAGCCTGAATGATGATATTTATTGAGGCTTCGTATGCTTCCGTATGCAACCCTTCCTCATGTGCCTCCGACTGTATTTTCATCCGTCTTGTACCGAGTAAGATGTCACTCCGCGAAATCGGTGCGGAGTTCCGGCATAAATCGGTCAGGCCTACCAGCCTGAAGGGTCGCTGTATTGATGCTAACCGACTAGAGCTGAATGGCTCATCAGGCTCAGCTTACCACGCTGATATCAACATGTCTGGTTTTTGATCGTTCGATTGAGTGCGACTATGCATTCCTACTCGAGCGGATGTTGTCTGTATGGCTAGATCGAGTGTTCTGTCTTTGAGGAGCAGTGAAAAGCAGCACCAAGCAGGATCGACTACGGTCTGTAAGCCTAAGTATCGGACTGTCTATATGCTGGGGTTTGCTCACACTGCATCTCTTGAAAGTAGTTGTGCTTGGACCATGAACTATACCCACCACTCCGGACAACAGGATGCTTTGATGGCCTCCAACACTGAATGAGTTCTAATGCATATGTCTGCCATGCTGGTGGCACTTGGTTATGTCTTTTTGATTCCTCCAGCATAGTCTCGAACGGTCAGAGGAAACCCAGAAGAGCCTTCGGGTTCGCTGGCAATTACTGTAGTTGTACTTTGCGAGTAGAGTGCCACCATTGTTGCTGATGTGAGCTACATATCTAATGTGACATCATTCATCTAAGATGAGTGTGGTCCGGACTGGAGCGCCCAGTTGACTACTCAGCAACAATTTGTTTATGCGCGAGCAAAGCGCTGTTGACAGCAGCGAGCCACTCGCAACATTCTTCATAAGAAAGTGCACGAAAAATATGCTCAGATGTGGTGGATGGGGTATTGAGTATCTGCTGCGTGTTAATTCTACAGAAACCTG